ATCACTCACCCACACCAGATGGAAAACTCTACAGACTGTCGTTTCACACCCCATCACAAGCCAGCAAAACATCCACGAAACAAAGAAAGGTCTGTCACAGCCAAAAAATACACTAATATATCGTCAAACAGAGCTGCCCGGTAAACCGTAGGCAGAGAGGGAGAAGAGGACAACAAACGAGGGGCTGTGACAAACTGTTTCGTCGGAGTTTCACCGACTATATATATATATATATTCTGTTTGACGATATATCGTCAAATAGAACTGCCCGGTAAACCGTAGGCAGAGAGGGAGAAGAGATGTGCAAGTGTGCCGCTTCAGCGGCAGATGGGTGTGTGGGCACTTGGCGCTGAACTACACAAACATGGCCAACCTTGCATTTTCTATTATATCGTCTATCTATACGTTTTCGTTATGGATGGTTTGTTATGAGTTGTGAAGGGAATGAGAGAGAGAATTTGGGGTGCTTTTTTAAACACACACACACACACACACACACACACAATCAGTTTTATGTATGTTTGTCTTCCCCCTGTCTCCTATTTTTTATAAGTACTTTTTGTGTCCCTAGCTGAGCACCCTTAGGCAGTGCCAAACAGTCGGACATTCCTCGTTTAGAGTGCCTACAGCACTCTTTGGGGGGGTGCTCAGTTCACGACGTCTGTGGTTTCTGTGGGTGATGACGGATGTTCATCTGAGTGACTCCCTGGCTCAACGGCTGGTGGGAACCAACAGTCTGCGGTGTTCAATCGCGATGTGAGTAGGCGATGTGCCGCTTTGCTCCGGATTGGATGTGTGGACTCCCTCGCCTGCGCTCTGCCGCTGCCTTGCTGCCTGTCCCACTTGCTTCGCATGTGGTTCTCTGCAAGCTGCTGTGTTCACTGTGTGGTGTGGCCGTGTTGTTGGTGTTGCCTTACGCTTTGCTGCTCCGCTGCCTTGCCGCCCTTCCGCTGGCCGTGCCTTCTGTGTCCTTTGCTTGCGCACCTTGTAGCTCGGTTGCCTTGTTAGTGTTGCCTTGTGCTTCACCGCATTGGTTGCTGTACTGCTCATCTGCTCGCCCTGTCGTCCCTTGCAGTGTTGTTGCCTTGGGCTTCGCTGCCTGGTTCCACGCTGCGTGTCCTGGGTGCCATGTCGTTCCTTGCAGTCGGTTTCGGCGTTGTGCAGCTGTGTTGCCTCTACTGCATTCCCTGGTGTTCCACAGGGTTGCTGCCCGCTGCTATGTTCCGCTTGGGGACAGTCTGCCTTCAATATGGGTCAAAGGATTCATGACCCAAACCATCCAATACGAAGATTCCGCAGATTGTCGAGGGTTCAGCCTCCTGACGAGTCGGTGCAACTCCCACTGTGTGCCAAGCTTTGCGGACATGCCAGTGGGACACTGTTTGCTTCCTTCTGGCTGGCACTGCCAGCCATTTCTGTCTGGTAGCCGCAGGCGTCTAAAATTTCTGAATTGGCTCGATTTCGATTTCGATTTCAATTTCGATTTCGATTTCGAACTTTGCCTGGGGCGATGTACTGATGGTTTAAACAACAGGGACGGAAGAGATGAGAATGTTTGGCAAGACTGATTTCAGAATGGTACTCTTCAGGAAAGTTGGACCGGTGGAGTTGGGTGGCAATGGAAGGCATCTGACGGTGTGAGGCCCCGTGACTGAGTTGGTGGCAGTGGGACCGGGGCATCCCTTCTCCGGGACAAGCCTAATGTGCGACTGGGTACATAGATCGCCAGGGGGGGCCGGGGCTTCCCTTCTCTGGGACACGCGTAATGTCCGACTGGGTACATAGATCTGTCTACCGACCATTACGCGTGCCCCAGGATAGGGGGAGGCCAGGCTCCCCGGGGGCACTGGCCCAGGCCCCCCCCTGCAGAGTGTCTAGGGCGGCAGGGGATTGGGCTGCATCTTGCTCTTTCTTTGAACAATCGATGTCCACCATCTGTGAGGGACGCTGGACGCGATTTCCAGCAGGTCCCGCTCCCCACCAATTGATCGGTGCTCTCTTGTGCACACACACACACACACAAAAAAAAAAAAAAAAAAAAAGCCCTACCGATAGGGCTGTTGACAGCAGACTATGAACAGTTCACTGAGGGAGTTGAGCCGTTGGAGAGGAGAGTGGTTACACCTTTCTCCGGTACATGCATCATCGGGGGAGGAACATTGTACAACTGGGTGAAAAAAAGAACAAAAACAAAGAGAGAGAATTCAGGGAAGAAGAAAGGGATTAATCTCAGGACTAAATTAGGGGAAGGCAGAGACGACGAAGACGAGAAAAAGGTGGCGCACAGGTGCATAGAGGAGAGACAGGAGTGAATAGAGGGGACTTTTACGAAATAGGGTGTTATCTGTCCAAGGAGAAGAAGGAACTGACCTGTCGCACTCATGGGCTTGACGAAAACTTCACAAAAATGCACTGGGCAGCAGATAGAAGTGGAGGCAGGAGATTCATCCTTCTTTGCCACGAATTCTTGATACTGTCGTAGAAGGTACAGGGGCAATCCATCAATCAATGATTGCCAGTAGTAGATTCCATGAGGTAGCAGAAATGTAGTCGGCATGTTTGGGGACAATCATGGACAGGTTCAGTGCCTACCAGCACGCGTGTGTGGGCATGCCTGGCTGATTTCATCAGGTCTCTCCCCACGGAACACCCCCCTCTGAGACTCCTCCCCCTCTCTTTCTCATTGATCTTCCTCCCTCTATTTTTCATCCCCGGCCTTGCTTCTCCAGTCCTCTTCCTCTCCTCCTCCTCCTCCTCCTCCTCCTCCTCCTCCTCTTCGTCCTTCCTTCCATTGCTCTGTTGGTCTTTCCACTCCTCCTCCTCCTCCTAGTACCTTCCATTGCTCTCTCGCTCTTCATCTCCTCCGCTCCACTGAATCTTCATTGTCCTCCCTCCATTTACCAGATTGACCAAGCAAGTGAGAAAACACAAATGCCCAACACTGAGATAATTTACATCTGAGCAAATCAACGACCAAACCCTAAGTCCTAAACCATAAAACTTGCGTCCTAAACCCTAAACCCTAGGACCCTAAACTCGGAATCCAGAAGATTCTGTATGACAACGGTAGCCCCCTTTCTTCCCATGACTACACGGCTTGCCAGTCTCCTGCTTTCAGCATTCTTCTGACTTCGTCTGCTGCTGCTGCTAATAAAGGCAATGCAGGTTCGACGCACAGAAGTGAGCTAGACCGTGTGATTCCCACCGGCGTCGACTGACCATTTCACGGATAGAACAACGCCAGTGTCTTCTCGAGACAGGGACTGCATGTGTACTCTAAGCCGCCACCCATAGAGGAACAAGTGGGTGTCGTTTCACATCACAAAACTGGCAAACCACGACCAATCAGCGATGGACTCTGTGGGGGCTGGCCGTAGCCATAGCCATATATATATACCCGCAGCCAAAGTAATATCAAGAACCACAGCCATAACCATAGCCATAGCCATAACCATAGCCATAGCCATAAACATAGCCGCAGCCCAAATTGAGAGCCGGAAGCACACGTTTTCATATCTGCTAGGGATACCAACCCAGCGCCCTTATTACAGGACCTGCAAATTATCCGCTCTACCAGTTTCATCTCCCGCTTTCTACGGCCGGCTGCCAGTACGTCTCTCTCTCTCTCTCTCTCGTTTCTTGTCGACGTACACACGCACACACATGGTATCAAATCACCGCCTGGATACGTAGTCGGTCAAAGGGTAAAGTCAATCAATCAACAGATGCGACCAGATGATAGTAAACGAAACCAACATATCAGAAACACCGTTCTCAGTCTTCGTCATCGGGATGCCCATCGGAGAGGGGAGTGAGAGTGGGCAGCAATCCTTTCTCATCGCCCTCACGGGTAACCGGGACACTATCATAGCACTCTTCGATATTGACAAAGGGAGGGGGGGTGTCAACTACCTCCTCCTCCTCCTCCTCCTCGTCCTCCTCCTCCTGCATACCCAGCTCCCCATTCCTCTTCTCTACTTTATTTACCTCACCTTTGAATACCGGCGACTCCATTTCCCAAGGCAAGCCATAGTGGGCCTTTCCTCGAGTATCTTTGCTTCCTCTGAGTCCGACGCTCGATGCCTGGCCTCTGTCTTCATCATTCTCAGAATTGTCCCCCCCACCTCCCCCCTTCCCTCCTCTCCTTTCTCTTTCCCTCTCGCTATTCTCAATCTTCCTTTCTCGCCGATCGCTCCTGATCTTGCTGATGATAGCTGCAACAGATAAGACCACAATCCCTCCACTGATGACTGTGGCGGCAATCAACCCCACCTCCCTGCTCCTTCCTCCTCCCCCCCCCCTTGAACCGCCAGCCTTATCAGCTTCCCCAGCTCCATACATTCCCGCGATGGCAAATGATGATGATCCCTCAATGGAATCCGACCCACTGAGAAGATAACCTCCTCCTCCCTTCCCTCCTCCTCCTTCTCCCATCTTCACCTCCCTCAAGAGCCGTGCCAATCTTGCTTCCGTCTCACTGTTCTCTCGCTTCACCTGCGCCATGAAGGCTATCACATTGTTCTTCTTGACCTGGATGGCCTTCCACTCTCTCAAACTACACATCCTTGTTGAGTCCCCTGTTATCTTCCTATACTCGACCCACGTGGGACCCATGGTTGCCCCCCTGATTGGATGAATTAAGAAAGCCGACGACTTCCAGAAGCTGAATAGCACGTCTCTAGCACAATATACATTCTCCTTCCACGGTACTGCCGACACCATTGAAGGGTGAATGTCCTCCTTCTCTCCTAATCCATACACCATGTACTGCAAGACGGTTGTAGATGAACACAAGACATTCTTCTCTACAAGAAGCCTCCCCTCCTCCTCTTCTTCCTCTTCTTCCTCTTCTTCCTTCTTCTCCTCCTTATTATTGGCATAGTAATCATTCTGAGAATCAGCCATTGCTCCTGCTGCTCCTGCTGCTGCTGCTGCTGCTGATGATGATGATGACGATGATGGGGATTGGTATGTGGATGAGGATGAGGATGAGGATGAAGAGAAAGAAGAAGGGTAGTAGAATATGAATTCGAAAGCCACTCCCTTGGCGTTGTAGGCGAAGTTAGACCGCCACGTGCCATTCAACGACGCGTTGTTTCGAAAAGCTTTGCCAATCACGTTGACCACGGTATTATTGATGACTTCAAAATTGGAGGTCCTATTTCCATCTAAGTAAATTCCCACGGAGCCCCACGCCCACCTTGAGCTGACGTCCGTTTTCTCCCCATCCATAAAGGCCGCCCAATTACCCCATCCATCTACAACCGTGTTATCTCGGATGATCTTTCGACCGTTGGCTGCAGAGTTGGTGGCGTATATTGCGCCCCCGTCTGCGGTAGACAACACGAAGTCGTAGATGTAATTGTGTGAGACCAGAGCGGGCAAGTGATCAACGGTGTAGATTGAGCTGTAACCTGTGTGATGGACAATGTTCCCCACCGCCTCTGGGATGTACAAACCCACCCCTCTCTCCCATCCTCCAACATAACCGCAGTGATGGACCTCGTTCTCCACAGCCTTAACAACCCGGACATCGCCAGCATACGAAGGGGAAGGGGAAACAGCAGGAACAGCCACAATACCATCTCCTATCGTCCACCCAACCACATTTCTCTCGATATGCAAATCGAAATGAAAACCGCTGTCATCACCTCCTCCTCCTCCTCCTCCTCCTCCTCCTCCTCCTCTTTCTCCCCCTCCCCCTCCTCCTCTCATTCCTCCTTCCATCCATGCTTTTGGGAGGAATACGATCCCATGATAAACCCTCATAACCACGCATTTCTTGATGACGACAACATTAATCTCCTTCAGAATGGGAGAAGACGAGTAATCATCCATCGCCATCCCTTCTTCATCCTTCGGCGTCGTTCCTGGATCATTCTTATTCTTGCTGGATGGGATGTTTCCGTCTGACAACGACCCCGAAAATGACGACAAATCCGACAAAGAAGATGATCCTGATGATGACGATTCCAGCCAAGAAAAAGCAGATGATGATGATGGTGATGATGCTGATGAGGAGGAGGAGGATGAAGATGATGATGATGATGATGATGATGATGATGATGATGATGGCGATGACGACGAATGGGATGATGATGATGATGAAGAGGATGATGATGATGATGATGATGATGATGATGATGATAAGCGATCGGCTCGTGATTTGTAGGGACGGTTATCATGAGTATTATCTTGATGGGTGCTAGTACGTCTATCACCTCCACAGATTCCGCAGAATCCCTTCTCCACCCGCAAGTCCTGTATGATGACGTTGGTCGCATCGGGAGCGACCTCGACTACCGCTGTAAGATGCGTCGGGACGAGATCGACGGTCTCGATTTTCTCGTTCCGTCGTGGAAACACGTATAATCGGCGCGCAGTGTTGTCGAAGAATGCTTCTCGAGGGGCATCTAGGAACATCAGCTTGCCCTCAAAGTACAGCGGCCCCGCCTCCACTCTCCCCTCGAATACAAACAGCGCCCCCGCATGATGAATCAACCCAGCTCTTGTCCACCTGTACGGACTCGATCGTATGATCGCTTGAGATCCGTTGAGCACTCCATCCGGTAGCCGGAGCCTTGAAAATGCCGACGAAGGGGTCATCGTCGTCGTCGTCGTCGTCGTCTTCTTGCTGTTCCAGTCTAATTTTCTTCCTCCCCCTCCCCCTCCCCCTCCCCCTCCTCCCCCCCCCTTCTTTCTCCCTTTTCGAACCCTTACAATCTTGAAGGTCGGAAAAAACTCCCCTATATCCCCCCACAAATCGTCAACATCCCTGTAGTTGGGAAATCTTGGACTTACAAAAATCTCATTGTTGATGTAGATGCCGTGATGAGGAATGAGCGTCCGTCTTGAGAGAAAGGGGGAGAGATCAGCGACCAGGACGTCGGGATTGGCCACCCACTTCTCCCAATGTAATTGGCTGCCCAGCAGGCGGATGGATCCGCTGAAAACGGGCAGCTGGTCGCTGGCCGTCCCATTGCGACACGTGTACGCCCCCACGCGCACAGGCGCCAAAGCCGTACCGAATCCGACGATGCGAAGCTGCTGATTATGCCACGCGTCTCCTCGACAAAACAGCAGCTCATCGCCAGGATAGAGCTGGACAGAGCTTGCTTTCTCGAGAGAGAGCCATGGCGTGTCGGGATCCTGGGCCGCGAGATCATCCCGACTATCGTCTCCAATCGTCGCTGAGAAGTAATAAGTTACACCATCTGCGCAGCAAAAGACGGTGGAAAGAACCGTGATGAGCAGCAAAACGGCTGCGCCGCGGGTTCTATTACCACTTCTATCAAGAGGAGGAGGAGGAGGAGGAGGAGGAAGAGGAGGAGGAGGAGGGAGCAGAAGAAAGCGCATCGTTAAGGAGGAACAAGATGGTGCGGTACGTTGCAGCGAGCACTTCCTCAAGTCAATCCGAAGTGACGATGATAGCTGGAGGAGGAGGAGGAGGAGGAGAAGGGGAATCTCCGATGCCTCGGCCGCTGCCAAACGCCACCACCGTCGCCGCCACGCTCGCCAGTGTTTCTTCGCCGTCGCCTTCTTCTCTGCTGCCAGAGACCCTGTCGAACGAGACGATAGACCCAAAGAGGACTATTCGCTGCGAAGGGCTCTCGGGCTCTTGGCTTGCTTTGTTGCTCCATGTGTTGGCGCCAACAATATTCACCGGCGAAGGATTGCATCATATTTCCCACCCCTTCTTCATTGCTCCCGATTCCAACGTTCCTCGATCAAATGGATCCCTCCTCCCCCCCCCCCCCCCCCCCTTCTCTTGTCTGCACAACGAATCAATGAGTACCCTACCAAATGAGCGCCGCGACCCTTTGCCTGTGCCTTTGCCTTTGCCTTTGCCTTTGCCTTTGCGTTTGCGTTTGCCCGCACGTGCGCGCGCGTACGGGCGCGCACGGAACGACGACTCGTTGCTTCCTAAGAGCCTCCTCCCAGGAGAGCGAATACGTATCTTTAGGACAGAATCAGCTTAGAGAAACGATGCCGCTGGCGGCCGGGAGTGGTGTGTGTTACCTGTTGTCCTCTTGTCGGGTCTCAAAGGCTCTCTGCTCGTTGCAGCCATCATCCACCTGCCTGTGTACTGTCCAGTGTTGTTAGACTGGCTATCCGGGGCATACTCACTTTACCACTTTCTTCGACTGACCTCTGGACGTAGTTGCAGTCAGATGCATCCAAGAAAAGCAGCAATTGCGGTCCAATACATCCAGCAAAGTCCCCCCGTTTGAGTGCGTGCTCTCAGTCTGTTGCGTTCTAGGTGTTGTAGTCTTTTTTATCTTCTGCAAGTGTTTTGAGCGCCTTGATTCCCGGAATCACCTCATCGATTGTGTGTGAAACTTTGTGTGGAAGCTGCCGTATCCACAGTGTATGAAGTAGTCTTTTCAGTGCCCCAAGTGCGCGCGCTGAGTGGGGATTATAGTAGTAGCACACGCATCGCGTTTGCCTGGACTGTCTTGTGTATATTATTGTAAGTCTCTTAAGTGTGTTTAAGTGTGTTATTGAGTGTGTTATTAAGTGTGTTATTGAGTGTGTTATTAAGTGTGTTACTTAGTGTGTTACTTAGTGTGTAAGTATGCTGATTGAGGTGAGTGTGAGTATGATTTGTGATTCTTATGAAGCGCATGGCAAGCGGTTCGAGTGCGTATCGAGGGTGTCGCAGAGTGAGGTGTTCCATGTATCGAGTGTCTGTTGAGTGTGTCGAGTGTTTTGAGAGTCTCAAGTCTATTCATTAGGATATGTGGGTTACTAAGTGTGTTACTTAGTAAGTACGTTGACTGAGGTGATTGAGGTGTGAGCGTGTGTGATTTGTGATTCTTATAAAGCGGATGGCGAGCTGTTGGAGTGCGTATCGAGGGTGTCGAAGAGTGAGGTGTTCCATCTATTGAGTCTGTTCAGTGTGCCGAGTGTTCTGCGAGTCTTAAGTGTATTCGTAGTACTTAGGATTAGGATGTGTGTGTGAGGGTGTTTCGCACTGGCTGGGCGCGCCATTTGATTTGGCGAGACGAGACGGGAACTATTCTTGCCACTGGCTGGCAAACCGTGATCGTCCTTACGCCACATGAGTTGCCCATACATTGTTACTGTTTATGACAGAACACGAGAGATAGGAGAGGGGGAAGGGGGGGGGAAGGGGGGGGGAGAGGGGGGGGAGAGGGGGGAGAGAGAGAGAGATGGATGAATAAGTGAACAGATGAAGAGTGTAGTAAAATAATAAACAAGAGAATAAAGCAGAGGGAGAGGCAGAAGCGGTAGTGGGCGACACGGTCAAGAATAGTCTTGTCCTGAGTGAGGGGAGGGAGAAGGAGGTGGGTATTCTTCACCAGCTTCTTTCCTCAAATAGACGGAACGTGGTCATTCTAGTTGTAGTGGGGCACGGTTCGGCCTGAACCCAGGTAAACAATAACTATGCCGTGTATTCGGGAAAGAAGGCACCTAACCTAAATCATGGCCAGATTCAGTCATGGTAGTGCCCGTGTAAAAGCTTGCCCTGCGGGCAGCGCCGCTAAACGCCAGTGATGTCATTGCCACCGAGGGAGCGATGGTCGGTTGTCATGAGGGAGCGAAATAGGACGCCAGCTGGCATTGCGAACGGTCCGATCTGACATTCTCGCTGCTATGGACTATGGAATGGCTATTACACTCGTTGCTACCCGTGATCGCTGTTCTTCATGGGGACATTTCTTTGCACTTCAAATTAGATCACAAAGATCCAACGAGGTTGATTGAAGGTTGATTGAGGTTGACTGGCATTTCCACATTTCACAATTGTGGAGGATTGATGGGACGAAAACCTTTCTACCGGATTGATTTGATTAATTACAAGTAAACCATCATGCTTGGCTCTAAATATCGACACAGAACAGAGGGTGAAATGTCCAAACTCTGGTTGATCCGCCGTCGAGTGCAAACAACCAGAGCCCGTAGGCAGGAACAGGGCGCGGCGGGCGCAAAGAGGGGGCAACCCTACCGTCTTCCCCCGAACATAACGCACCCTGAAAATGAACGTATACAAGGTATGTTTTTCCGGCTCGATACAGGCTTGGACCCCACTGGCCGGCGGATGGAAACTGGTGTTTGCCATAAAAAATGGCCGACCGTGGTTGGAAACATTCTTCCTCGTTTCATTGGGACCCCACCGCAGGCCGATAGTTCGCAGCTCGTCACGATTGCGTTTCGCCCACCTGAGACATTTCAACGTCAATTCGCAGCCCGTCAGGGTTGCGTTTTCCCCCCCTGAGACATTTCAACGTCAATTCGCAGCCCGTCAGGGATGCGCTTTCCACTCCTGAGACATTCAACGTTCAACGTCAAATGAGGGCACGGGTGCGCAGCCCGTAGTTCGTTTGTTTATGTGGTTCGGGAAGGGTAAGGTATTGATTATGCTGTATGTATGTTTTGTCATGTTCGCTATACACAACTTGAAGAGTGTGTGTGTGTGGGGTGCCGGTTGGTGCTTTATTCACGATGTTCATGGGACGCTGGACATAGTTTCCAGCAGGTGGCGCTCCCCATCAATAGACAAGAGAATGTATATGTGTGTGTATGTGAGTGTGTGTATGTGTGTATGTGTGTGTGTGTGTGTGTGTGTGTGTGTGTGTGTGAGAGAGAGAGAGAGAGAGAGAGTGTGAGAGAGAGAGAG